AATTTCAAGTAATTTTACTTTATTTAATTGTCCAAGATTGTCCAAAGTATTATCCAAAGCTGTCCCATGACAACACTGAGTATAAGAACATGCAATCCTATAAATTTCATATTTATTGCACTTGACCTTTGTCTCATATCCCAAGCAATATTTTTTTATTTCGTTTTTTCCGAAATAACTTATTTGGAGTTTTATTTTATTATTTCACTTTTTTCCGAAATAACTTATTTGGAGTTTTATTTTATTATTTCACTTTTATCTCTTGTTCTTGATAGCTGTGTATCTACTATCAAATTACCTTATGGAATTTGTTCAGGATGTACAATGCAAATACCATTTCAAGGCGTGAGATCCGCTTTAACATGCCCGACGTAATATAGATGTAGTGCTGAAATGTACTAAATGTGAAAATAATAATATAAAAGTTGGTTGGTGTTCATCATGCGAAGGAGCAAGTTATAGAGAAAAATTTAATGAATGGACAAGTGGTAATCAAGAAATTGATGAAATTATCCAAAACACTCAATTAAATCCTGAATTTCCTGAAAAAAATTTAGAATGGATTGATTATCAGGAGTTTAGTGAGAAAAGCAAGCTTGGAGAGGGTAATTTTGGAATAGCTTATTCTGCAGAATGGTATAAAGGACCTCGGAATTTATATGACAAAGAAACAAATAGGTGGGTTCGAAGAGGTCCAACGAAAGTGGTATTAAAAATCTTAGATGATATAACTAATTTCCAAAATTTTTTATATGAGGTATTTATTATTTTACGATTTTAATAGTTTTATAAGATTTTTTATTCACACTATATCTCACGAGTTATGATGTTTTTATTTTATGATTTAAAATATATAGCTCACTGCTATAATAAATACTAGTGATCCTCTGCACATTGTAAGGACCTTTGGTATTACTAAGGAGCCTGAACATAATAAATACGTAGTTGTGATGGACATGTATATTAATGGTGATTTATTTAATTTTTTTAAAGAGAAGGAAGATCTTAAAAATCTTGAGAGATTCGCAATACTGGGCTGGATTGCAGCTGGATTATATATTATTCATGAAAAAAACCAAATACACAATGATTTACATTCTAGTAATATTTTGATAAAATATAATAGTGATCCTAATTTTGAAGGGCCTAGATACCTTGGTTTAATTGCTGATTTTGGACAATGTAGAACAGTTAACAGCGCATCTACAGGCGAGATAATTGGCGCCAGAGAGTATATCGCTCCTGAAATACTTGAAACACTTCAATACAGTCAATACACAAAAAAATCTGATATTTATAGTTTTGGGAAAATTATTGAAGATGTCTTTCCAGATAACATGTCAATTCTAATGAAGGTATTAAAGAAAAGCTGTACAAATAGATCGCCTTCTGATATGAAAAATGTTTTTATTTTCCTTAAAGAGGTGGTGGTGTATTATGAATTTGGACCTGATCAATTTTTTGATATATTTCGAAAGAAGCTTGACGAATTGAATTCAGTAAAACAGGAGTTAAATAGACAAAACTATATTGATTCTAGTATGAAAGATAGGCTGATTACAAGCATGAATAACTTACTCCTTGCTGTTCCAATAGAAAAGCCCCAATTTTCGTATGAATGCCATGTTTTGATCTCTATTCTCAAAAATTCTGATATAATATCTATCAATGGAATACTTATCGATAAAATGGATGCGATTATTGAATATCTTTCCATATATCTATATTGGTTTGATAGGGTCCAAAATTACGTTCCTGAATCAGATCCTAAAAACATTCAGCCTAACAGCTCTAAAAGTCCAATAGATCAAACAATTTTATCCGATCGCGATCAAGTCTTTATTGAACTGTAGACAAACTTGCATATTTCAAGCTTCATAATGATCGTTGGATGCTGGTGTATGAGATATATTTTCACTAAGAAAATTTTCATAATTTATATTATTACTACGAATTTTCTTTTGTTTATTTATATATTTGTGGTGCCAATTATCATGTCATTTATTGATAGAAATAGAAATAGTCAAGTAAATGTGTGTTTAATAAGTACTTCAATAATTGTCATGTCAAGTGATAAAAATTTGAAAGTATAAAGGATTCAACTTGTATAGTTCTTGAATATTAAATCTTAATTAATAAGATGCCTGGGTGATGAACATAATGTTTTACCACATGAAATAAAATTACATGACAATGCAAACCGTAAAAGCGCGAAATAAAGTTAAGGGGCGTTAATTTGAAAATTAGATACTCGTAAAATAGTGCATGTAGCTTCAAATTAGCGCCCCGAATAAACGCGCATCCCTATAAATAATAATAAAGAACAGAGAAATAAAATAGAAAGTGTTTCATAACTGGGTTTGGTATTAAGTAAACCTAAATTTTTGAATTTAATAAAACTTGTTCTTCATATAGAGATGATTCTAATGGTAGTAAACTCATCTAAAACGGCTCAATAGTTCGCCCGCAATGCTCTTCAAAATTTTGCTTTATCTACAGACAAAGGCTGCAAATCTTCGAAGAGCCATTGCGAGTAAACTACCAGACCGCTTTAAAGATTTTATTACTGTTAGAATCGTCTAGAACTGAATAACAGCTTTTGTTAACGCCAAAAAATATGCTTGCTTAATGCCAAACCCAGTTCCGGAACACTTTTCAATTCTTATTATAAATTAATACTACAGTATTTATTATAATTAGGGGTGCGAATTCAACCTTTATTTCGAAATGGTCGTTATTTCGCGCTTGTACGGTACGTCTATTTATGGAATCAAAAGTCAATTTAACTTAAAAGATCTTATAAAAGCAACCCAAAATCGATAAAATATTTTGGGCGTTCAGCTCAAATAGCGCGTACAGTACAAAAATTTTTTGATATATGGAAGATCACGAGAAAAAATAAACCCAATAAGAAAGAAGGCAAATGTCCAACACGATAATGATCGGAGGTATACAGACTATAAGAACTGACTATAAGATCTGACAGATTTTCACAAGCACCCTAGTGGCACCGACAGAATTTCGCTGATCTGCAATCTAGAACATTTTGATCAGCCAATCAAATTTTGTTTATTTCTAATTTTTGACCGTTTTTTTAAAATCCTAGCGATGTTTTCCTACTAACCACTCAATTAAACTTAATAAAATAATTTTATTTTAATTCTATACACCCGTGGAATTAAAATAAAAAAATTTTCATTGAATTGGGATAGTTGGCTGTCGAGAAATCTTCACTTGAAGTTTAAAAAAAAATATAGAAAATCAAAAAAACCAAAAACGGACGAATTTTTTCCTCTTTTATACTTTAAACAAGGATTTCTTGACAATCAACTATCCGAATTTGGTGAACTTTTTTTTATTTTGATTCTATGGCTTCATAGAATTAAAATAAATAAAAAAATTGATCGAATTTGAATAGTTGAATGTCGAGTAATATTCATTATAAGTTAAAAAAAAATTTGGCCGCAGCTTTTCTTTTATATGCACCTAAACTTTGAACGAAGATTACTTGGCAATTACCTAGTCAAATCTAATCAAAATTTTTTTATTTTAATTCTATAATCATATAGAATTAAAATAAAAAAAATTAATCAAATCTGACTAGGTAATTGCCGAGTAATCTTTGTTCAAAGTTTAGGTGCCTATAAAATGAAGCTGCGACCAAATTTTTTTAACTTATAACGAATATTACTCGACATTCAGCTATTCAAACCCGATCAATTTTTTTATTTTAATTCTATGAAGCCACAAAATTAAAATAAAAAAAGTTTCACCAAATTCGGATAGTTGGTTGTCAAGAAATCTTTATTTAAAGTTCAAGTAAAATTTTTGTTGCAGCATTTCTTTTTTATAACTTTTTTTAAAAACATTTAACTAATGATTTTTTGAAAATTAATTGTTCGAATTTGATGAAACTTTTTTTATTTTAATTCTGTGGCTTCATAGAATTAAATTAAAAAATTTTTGATCGAATTTGAATAGCTGAATGTCGAGTAATATTCATTATAAGTAAAAAAAATTAGCCACAGTTTTCCTTTTATAGGCACCTAAATTTGAATGAAGATTACTCGGCAATTACCTAGTCAAATTCGATTAATTTTTTTTATTTTAATTCTAAGTGATTATAGAATTAAAATAAAAAAAATTGAACGAAGATTACTTGGCAATTACCTAGTCAATTTTTAGGTGCCTATAAATAGAAAGCTGCAGGCAAATTTTTTTTTAAACTTATAATGAATATTTCTTGATCACTAGCTATTCTAATTCAACTAATTTTTTTTTTTTATTTTAATTATATGAACCCATAGAATTAAAATAAAAAAAAATTCATCGAATTTGGATAGTTAATTGTCAAGAAATCTTCGTTTAAAGTATAAAAGAGGAAAAAATTCGTCTAATTTTGGTTTTTTTCCTAATTTTCTATATTTTTTTTAAACTTCTAGTGAAGATTTCTCGACAGAAAACTATCCTAATTCAATGAAATTTTTTTTATTTTAATTCCATGGATGTATAGAATTAAAATAAAATTATTTTATTAAGTTTAATTGAGTGGGTAATAGGAAAACATTGCTAGGATTTTAAAAAAACAGTCAAAAATTAGAAATAAACAAATTTTGATTGGCTGATCAAAATGTTTTAGAATGCAGATCAGCAAAATTCTGTCAGTACCACTGAGGTACTTATAAAATGGCAAGTCAGTCACTTGACAATCTGAGATGTCATATAACCTATAATCGGCTTGGTCAAAAGCGGCATTTATATTTGGCGAGTGATAATTTTAGGGACATAAGTATAGCTTCTACTTATGTTTAAACCTTGATATTACACTAATACTATTCTTCTACAATAGCATAGCAGAAGTTCATTTTGATTGGCTAAAATTAGTGTAAATATGATTGGTGACGATCTTTTTTTTATATAGTCAATTGTAATTTTTAAAGAACTTTTATAAGTAAAGATCATTACAATATATGAAATTATATGTAAATATAACAACTGGTTTAATATTCTATTTTTTTTTTACCTCTAAAGCAGTTGTTTTTTAGCCTAGGATGTAGTAGGATGCAGAAGTTAAGAAAACTAAATGAGAAACAAAAGTTTTATCAGCTTTAATAACTTCAAAAAGATAAAGATACAAAATATATGAAGTAGTTTGAAATTTTATTTATTTTGTATTGATTACTAACATGTGCTTCTAATATCTTTTTATCTCTAAAATAATACAAGAAATTATGAGTGAATAGACATGTAAATAAAGAGTTATACTGTAATCAAATAATTTCAATTGGCTAAAGATATATACATTACTGATGCCTGACGAAACTATTTTTGCAATGACGAAAGGTTTCATCATGGTGTTACTATTATTGGGAGAGCGAATATAATATAGAGGCCAATTCAACTCTAATAGTAAACTGAAGGGTCTTCAAATATCGATCGTTACGGCTTAAGCACGTGAGGGTTCCACTTAATCAGACCCGATTAGGGTTATGCAGATAATTTAAGAGTGGCTTTTAAGGGTAGCGTTAACAATGAATAATGGAACGTAATAAGGACAACATAGATGCAATAATGATGTTTATAAGTATCAATAATGAAAGGTAGCAGTAATAAGCGGATTTATAGATAGAAAATATTCGTAATTAGTGTATAGCGATAATTATAATAAGGTTTATGTTTTAACAATATTAGTATAGCAGTCTTCACAAAACTATATTTAATCATTTGAGAGTTCGACTCTTATTTTAACTCATTAAAGACATCGAAGTCTGCCAGAACTTTTATTAATGGAAAACGATGGTCTTTAAATACTTTTTCTATTCTATAAACGACTGTTCTACATTTATGAAGTCACACAACACTGCCCTTTCCTTTACTTACAATTGTTCCCACCCGCTCACAATTACGCACACTTACTGACAGCCGCTTACAATTGTTCGCGACCGTTCATAATTACTCACAATTGTTGACAGCCGTCGCTCATTGTAAACAAACAAAAGATATAAAAAAAATAACAATAATAAAAAAAAAATAAAAATAAATAAATAAAATATCTAAGCCCTATCTCCTACGTCACGAAACCCGTGACAATGGTTTCGTCATACGAAACCTCTGACAATTGACGAAACCCTTGACGATTGATGTAACCCTGTCGATTGACGAAACCATGACGATTGACGAAAAAAGGCTGTGCCAAAATTTTTTAACTTTGAGTAAATATATCTCGGTAAACACCAAATCAATTTCGATGAACTTTATTTAAATTCTACGAATCTGTAGAATTCAAATAAAAAAAAAAATTCATCGAATTTGGCTTAGTGGTTGTCAAGATATCATCGCTCAAAGTCTGAAAAATTTTGCCAGCCTTGAATTTTTTAAAACTGAGCAAAAATATCTCGACAACCACAAGGTCAATTTTAATGAACTTTTTTTATTTGAATTCTACAGATTCGTAAAATTAAATTAAAAAAAAAAGATCATCGAATTTGGCTTGGTGGTTGTCAAGATATTATTGCTCAAAGTTTTAAAAGAAAATATCTATCAAAATAAAGGCTGCATCAAAATTTTTTTAACTTTGAGCAGCGATATCTCGAAACCATCAAATCAATTTTGATAATCTTTTTTTATTTATTCTACGAATCTGTAGAATTCAAATAAAAAAAAAGGTTCTTCGAATTTGGGATGTAGATGTCGAAATATCAGTCTGAAAAAATTTTGGTGCAGCCTTTATTTTGATAGTCGGTTTGAATTATTTAAAATTTTAATAATATCTCGACAAGCACCAAGCCAATTCGATAAACTTTTTTTTATTTAAATTCTACGAAACTGTAGAATCTAAATAAAAAAGATTAAT